CTGAGAAAGACAAAGACAGAGAGATAGAAAGAAAGCAAGAGAGACAGAGACAGAATGAAAGACATTGGTGTACAAGCTCCATTTGCCCCTCATTTTAAAATTTTTAATTTTTTTTTACAAGCAACGTGAGCCTAGCAATATGAGACTATTGTGATATGAGACTATTGCTAGTCTCAGAGCACTGAATTAAAAAAAATGATGGGGAGAGAGTTTAAAAGGAGTTGTGCAATGTTTAGTTCCCTGCTGGTATTGAATTGAATTGAAAGGGGGATTGGAGAGGAGGCAAACAGCAGCATCCCCAGTGGGGAAAAAAAAGTATTTCAGTGCTGCATGCAAACAAAATAAAGGGAGGAATCCTCAGCATGGAATGAAATTGACATGAGATGTAAAGAGAAACTCCGGGATGGGAAGCCTAAAGCTTTGAAAACATTTTCCCCTTTCATGCTTTAGTGAACAAAATTTTAGGGGGAACCATTTTGGCAATCTCTGGAAGCCTAACATTAAAATGGCAGCTGAACCACATGGACCTTCTGTGAACTACCAAACTTAAGAATCGCTTGGGATTGAGCCATTTGGAGGAAGAGTGCAATCCTCACAGGACAAGCTTTAAAAAACTGCCAAGATCATGACCAGTGTGCAGGTTCTATTGCAGCCCTACCGAAAGTGTGGTGGAGTTGCAGTTGACTTTGCCCAGGCGTGCGCAAGCATGCACACATACACACATTTTGTCAGTGATCACAGCTTGCAATCCCAGTGTCAGTGGGTTCTACCATACATTCTGTACACTCAACATGTCCCCCCATATTATGAGACTGTGACTCCTTCCCATTTTTCATAGTGGCTGATAACACAGCAGAAAATCCCCTAGTGCTCCACAATATGGAAAACGGGGCTTCGCAGCTGCTTGTCAGTTTCAAAAAAAGTCTGGTCAGTTTCAACAGTGAGTTTTTCCCCTTTGCCTGCCTTCCTTCTCCCCCTCCCCCTTCATTCAATGAACTAATGCTAAAACACACGCGCAAAACCTGAACCACAAGGATTTAAATGGAAGGTGCTTGCTGGACGCTACTGTGTAGCTGCGATAGGGCAATTGCACAATTTTTAAAAAAGAAAATGTACAACCCCCATGTCACAGGTGACATTCCACCACAATTTAGAAAAGTGCTTTTAAAAAATTGTACCTGCAGAATAAATACACCAGAGAAAAAAGAATGGTGTGTGAGGCGGGCACAGAATCTGAAGTCAAGATTAAAGGCTTACTGTTCCGAAAATTTGCAGTAAGATGTGCGTGTGTAATGGGCCTAAGTCAACCCTCTCCACCTGCAGTTAGCTCACTCGGGGGGGGGGGGAGACAGACACCGGCTCTGTAATTAGCTTTTTACAAAACCACCAGAGACCCTAATCATGAATCTCTTGCATCACATCTGATTTAACCTTAAGACAGTTTGCACTAAGTCCGTACACATCTGTACTAGTCTAACCTTCCTTTATCTGCAGACCAGATTTCCTAATTGTTTTCGTGATGGTGTGACACACATTCAAGCAGTCACTGCAGCAGGATGGGTGGCAAAGAAGCCTCCTTCTAGCACGAGAGATGTGAAATAGACCCAGCCGGTCCAAGTCTTAAGCTGCAAAACTTTTTCTTGATTCCATGAAGTCAGCTGGCCATGCTGTGGTACTGTCAGGTGAGATCACTGACCTGTGCTTGGCACACCTAGCCAATCAGCAGCGGGGCACCTGCACTGAGAGCAGAGGAGCAGGCCTAATGCTTCCATTGCTGCCTTGAGGTGGCCATCTCCCCTTCCAGTAACGCAAAGCAATGGACCTCCTACTCTTCCTAAGTGCATTCCCATTCCAGCTACCGCTGGGTAGGGTAGCTGGAGTTCTGTACCCCCTTCTGTGCTGCGTCCAGACCAGCCCCCGCCCCATTTTATGCTACTTGTACAGAGGGGGGTTAATTCCCCCTCTCTCCCCATTCTCCTGATAGCCACACACAAACCCCACACCAGTCTTTAGCCCTGCTAGAAAATGCTTAGAGGTTTTTTATCCTGGTGGGATAAAAAACGCAGCTTGGGAAGGTTGAATTTTCATCAAGAAAATAAGATGAGAGTTTGCCCACTTCCTCTTAAAAATCAAGCCCCATTCCCTGCATTATTAAAAAGTAACAATAAACATAATCAAGATGTTTAACAGACCTAAAGATAGGATAAATAGCTCCTTTGGGTGACCTTGTTTCATTAACAGCATCCCGGTATTCGAAATCATCTGTGTCAGCTAAAAACAGGCAAGGCAGCAAAAGGCTGTCTGTACAAGATGTACCTCAGATTGCAAGTAAGGTGAAGACCGACAGCTGTACTTCCCCTCAGTTGTGAAATTTTTGTTGCAAGATGAGCTCTGCTTCCCCGCCTCGCTCCTCCACAGCCAGGCATACTTGGATCTGAATGCAGCATGGATTTTCTCTCTCACACCCCCAGGCTTGGGTGTAGTTTGGTGCAGTGGTTAGGAGTGCGGACTCTAATCTGGGAGAACCAGGTTTGATGCCCCACTTCTCTACTTGCAGCTGCTGGGTGACCTTGGGCAAACCACAGTTCTCTCAGAAATGTTCTCTCAAGAACAGTTTTCTCAGAGCTCTCTCAGCCCCACTTACCTCACAGTGTGTCTGTGGGGAGAGGAAGGGAAGGAGACTGTAAACCTCTCTGAGACTCCGAGTGAAGGGCAGGGTATAAATCCAATCTCTTCTTCTTCTTCTTCTTTTTGGTTTTTAACCATGTTTTCTCCAGGCACCTTGCATGTTAATCCATTTTGCTTACTTGGCACTTTTTTTTTTTAGGGCTCTGTGGAAATACTGCCCTTGGCAATGGGGTTGAGAGAGTAGCTTTATGCTTGGCATGGAAGCCAATCAGCACCTAGCACAGTCAAATTCTTATAGGGACAGCAAGAATCAATTGTTCTAAGGCTCTATTCAATTTGGCAGTCTCAGAGCATGAACCTACAGGGGAAATCACACCTCTAGTTATCTCCGGTACACATTCATACTGTTGTAAGTTAATCAGATAGCAGGAAGATCATTAGGATCTAACTGACAGTTCAGTGACAGCTACATGTCAGCAGGTGGACTGATAAGCCTGTTCTAACCGGTTATGGCTGGCACTGGACAGTGTGCAGTCATCATGACTCAGCTTGTTGCTGATTGGTGCTACTGTGTATATAAGTCTGTACAGAAGCCATGTACGCTCTCTTCGGAGGTAACAAGCGTCTGGCGAAGCATTTTGTCTGTATATTCTGTGAATAAACCCTTGTATATAGTGTACCACTGGACTGTGCAGTGTGGTTACTATAGAGGGGCAGAACAGCAAAGAACTGGTAAGAGCTGGGAGGCTGGAAAGTCTGCTAAGGTGCTGTCTTGGCTTAGACTGGTCTGTGGACCACTACACACGCTCTGCGCAACACATACTGCCTCCAACCTCCAAACCAGAATTCTTTTGAATATAAATGCTTTTTTTTCTTTCCTTCTTGTAATTTTGTATTTTTAAAAAGTGTACTGTATTCTTATGTCGCTGAAGATACGTTATGTTCCTCCTACAGAGGTTGGAAACCGTTTCCACATAAAATAAGAAACAAGGAAAAGCACGGAGACTCATATTCCTATAAAATATCTTAGTGCTAAATGCAAAATGCCTCACAGAGTGCCAAAATATATTGGGGGGGGGGGGAGAGACACACTTGCTGGTCTCTCTCAGAAAACATACAATCCAGCATTTGTTCAGATTTGGCCCTAGCAAACTTCAGAACAAACAAAACCCTCTTATGGCAGAGAGCAGAAGTCAAGAAAAATGTGGTGGTTCTTATATTAGCAAAAACTGAGCTTAATTTTTGAAGGGGCATCAACAAGCTGTATAGAAATATTGATTTCTATAGGCTTCATGTCTTCCCTGGAATGTATCTTGCTGATCCCCTGCTGTGTTGATTTCCTATTGAAACCAAATGGCTTGAACATTTGGTCAGAGAAGCTCAATTGCCTGCCATATAACCACACATTCTTCACACTCTAGGTGGAAGAGCTAGACCTGATGGCGCCTGGTTGTGCCTATATGTCAGGAGTCACGTAAAGCATAGAGGATTGGTTAGAGTTTGGGGATCACATAACTGCAGGTGTGGCCTCCAAGACAACTGACCATTCAGAAATTGTTCCCATGGTAACTCTACAATTGGGTACTCCCAGGTCTACTCCAATTGGCCCCTGGCCAGGGCTAATTGGACAACTGGAATTGCCCTATATCTGCTCATTCCCAATGAGAGGAACTTCTCTTCTGTTCCTGTGATCTCTACTGTTGTGTCTGTCCATCTGAGATGCTATGCTACCATGTGGCTCCTAACAGAGACAAAGGATTGCTTTGGAGCTGAGCACATGGCTACATGCTTGCACAAAGATGGGACCTAATGGACTTTATCACAAAGGACAATCTTAGACTATGGATTCCTGAAGTTGGTAATTATGCATATATCTAATGTTTAGTTAGGGCCAAGAGCCATGAGTTTTGTTATTTTGTAATCCTTTATAGTCTGTGCTACGTCTGTACTGAATAAACCTTATTCTTGTTTATAAATAGTGTCTGGATTGTGGTAACTGGACTTCAAGCTAAATCCTGTAGCCTAAACCGCTGACCAATTGTGCTACCTGTGTAAGATTAACTGCACAATCTGGATTGAGTTGCTAATGTGTAAAACCCACATATCAACTGAGATTCTGGGGATCTCTAATCTCAGGTTGGTGAGGGATTAAGTTTAGAGATCCCTGGTGGCTATTGTGTTTAAATCCAGAGAATCTACCTTTCTGGGTTATTGAGTAACGTATTGTGCCAGTGTAGAATTTCCCCCATCCCTGGACTGGCCTGGGGGGCAGAATCTATACACAAGCTAAATTAGGTAGCATTACCTAGTAGTTGGAAAAACAAATAAACAAATAGAAAAGATCTGCAAGTCACTGATTATTTTGAGGCATTGTTTTAATGGAAATTATCCAGAAATCACACAAATCTAGTGTAAAATGTTATGTTTGTATGCTCATGCATTTACCATCCAATTATTTTATGAACTATATTAAGTATAAAAATATATACAATATATTTGGTAACAATTCTTCAGATATTTCTTGCATTCTTAACAGGCTTTTCAAATCAGCTCATCACAGTTCTTTGAACGCAAAAATAAGATGACTGCTTTGTCAATCATAATTCAACTCTGTACCACTGCTCTTCTTTCCGCAGGAACAACAGTAAGCTAGCTGCAGGGAAGCAGAAAGACAGGGACAACTGGTTGTCAAGCGCTGTCCAAGGAAAGACCACCCTCTCCTCCTGACTTAACACTTCAAAAACCCCTATGCTTTGGGGAGAACTGAGCATGTGTACAGGTATACAGTGCTGTCAATCCTGGAGCATGACAGATGCTTCTCAGCCTAAAGCCTGTCTCGGGAAACATACTGCATGCACTAACCATGCCAAATGGGACTATGCTCAGGGCAATTCCCTGCAGAATTTCAGGGCTCCAATATTTTTTTAAGGGATTAATCCGGAATGCTTTCCTTTGGATGTACGAAAGCTGGTGAGGCCTTTTTTTCCAGTTGACCTGATTATTGTGATGATCACCTTGTGATAGTCATTACAGGATCGCTATGAAACTGTGGCAATAAGTGGATTTCTGAAAGAGACACAGTTCTCCTGAGTGGCATCTGATATCTCACATTTTTCCAGAACCGTGTACTAGCCAATTGAGATTTTTCTGCAGAGTCTTGTTTCCACCGGATCGCTCCGTGCTTCTGCTTAATGTATTGAATAGACTCCGGCATGCTTGTGTAGTTCTTTATCTTTTCCATCTCAATTAGTATCACTTTAATACCACAGTGAACGAGTGCATTGTACACGGCTATTTGCTGCTCGGATGTTTCTTCCAACCTGCTGCAGCTTGATAGTTCCGGTTCCAAAATGATCATCAGCCTTCTGCTTTGTTTAATAGTATCTTCGGTTACACTCACCACAGCTGTAAATAAACAAAAAAAATTGCTCCACAGTCTTAAACAAAAAGGCTCATCAATAAGAAGCAATGGCTTTAGCTCAACAATGACTTCCTCTCCTGCGGTCAGAGAAAACACAACTCTACATTCATAGCTCGGTGATACACTTTGAACACAGAAAGTCTCATGTTGAAGCCTTGGCAACTCCACTTAAAGATCTCAGGTAAAAAGGTTCCAAAAGACCTCTGTCTCTGGCCTTGGAGAGCCATTATGGATCTGAGTGAACAGGACAAGACTGGATTGGAAAAGCAGACTGGAGCTTAAGTGGCTCAGAGGTTAAGATGCTGAGCTGCAGACTGTGGAAGGTCTGTAGTTCGGCAGTTCGAAACCCTAGTGCCACGTGACGGAGTGAGCTCCCCTCTCTGGCCCCAGCTCCTGCCAACCTAGCAGTTCAAAAGCAAGAAATTGCAAGTAGATAAATAGGTACCGCTTCGGTGGGAGGGAAACAGCATTTTATGTGCCTCGGCATTTAGTCATGCTGGCCACATGACCACGGAAATGTCTTCAGACAGCGCTGGCTCTTCAGCTTGGAAACAGAGATGAGCACCGCCCCCTAGAGTTGGATTCAACTAGCTTCAAGCAAGGGAAACCTTCACCTTTTTTACTATTTTAAGGGCGCTTCCTACAAAAAGAAGAAAGGCAGTGCATTTCCACAGAGGAGGTCCATGCGATGTAGGAATAAGCATGTACACTGTCGTGAGATCCCAACTAACACACTGAAAGCAACATCAACTTATACTTCATTCCCATCCACTCAGTCACACAAAGTTCATCTGGTGTCCTGCAGGGTGAGGAAAACCTTCTGGTTCTTTTTGTGCAATCTTTGTATTTCCTGCATGCAATTCCACCTATGAACTAGGCTGTGCATGGAAAAGATATGGAAGTCTTTCCATAATTTCATCAGCACTATCATCAGAACACAAGAAAGGGCCTTCTCGGTGGTGGCAGCAAAACTCAGATTAATCCATCTCCCTCTGTTGGTGACTTCTGCCAGCAGGTGAAGACTTCTTTTTTTGTTTTGTTTGGCATTTGCTCTCTCACTCTTATTAGCTCTCCTACTTATTTGTGCGTTTATAAGTTTTATTTAATCATTTTAAATATTTTATATACACTTGTATTTTAAATGTTTTAAATGTTTTAATATTCACAACCTTGGGGACCCTGAATTGGGTGGAAAGGCAGCAAAGAAATGTTTTAAATAAATAAATAAATATTTACAGCTGCTGCAATTGCAGAAAACAGTGACTTCTAAAGGGGAGGGTTTATTTTGGTATATTAAACATACCTTGCCCTGGTAGGTCATCCCTTCCAACTATAAAAAGCTTATATCCACACTGTCGCTCCAAAACCTCAGGTAACAGCTTTAGAACAAAGTTATCTATGCTGTACATCCGAGCCACTGTATCAGCTGTTGGATACAAGACAAAGGCATCGTAGATCTTCCCATCTGAAACTATAATGAACAAAACATGTTTAACATGCATTTTTCCCCATTCTGCTTCTAGTTATATGCAGGCAAACTGAGAGGCACAAGTCAGAAACCACATACCATTCAACCTACACCACTAAGGATATCCTGGAAAATCTGATGGAAAACTGAAGACTGCAGTAAGTCATACACTGCATGTATGTTTCTGATACACCAGTGCAGTCAAAACTATGATAGTGAAAATGTTAATAGTATTAACTTAATACTACTTTTCTGATGCCTCTTGAGCATAATCTTGCACATTTTAGGGGTGTGCATTCGGTATAAATCAAGCTGAATAAATACCCGAATAATATCTTATCGGCATTATTCGGGTATTTCCTAAGCCAAATCAAATTTAAGAATCTGATTTGGCTACCGATATATTGATTCCGAATAAAAGCTGAAATTATTCAGCTTTTATTACGGTCTAGTCAGTAATGCTGAATAGCGGCTCTTAGGCTCAGTGATCTGTTTCACAGCCACCCCCACCCCCCATGCATGGAAGCAGGGGGAGCAAAATGGACAGGTTAAATGGCTGTCAGTCATTTAAGCCTAACAGCTGACAGATGGACCCGTTGGGCTTGAAAGCAGGGGAGGGAGTGAAATTGACAGATGAAGGGCGAACCCGTTGGGCTTTCAGGTTTAAATGGCTGGCAGCCATTTCACAGGCCGGTTTCATTCCCTGCTGCCAGGAGGACCAGCTCCTGGGACAACTCTGTCCCAGCCATTTAAACCTAAAAGCCCAACAGGTCCACCCATCAGCCCTCACAGGAGCTAATTCCGCAGGGAGCTCTCTCCTACAGGCACTGTTGGGGCTCTGCTGAGCTGCCCAGTTGAAGCCGGATGTTATGTATGCGGACCGCCACTAGGGATCCACGGCACAGTCAGGAGCTTAGCTCCCCTGAACAATAGGAACATAGGATCCTAGTTTCCCCAACACCAACCAATAGCCACTTTGGCGGGAAATTCAAACCCTCCAATGGGACTAGGGGTGTGCTGGGTGGGTGTGTATATAGTTGGCATTGCAGGGCTGTTTTGCAGTTCGATGTTAAGTACAATAAACGTGTGCAAACACATGGCGTCGTCCGAGCCCTCCATGCTCCAAACCCAGTACTTTTCACCGGATAGCCCAACAGAGCCTGCTAAGGAGCCAGTCCTGCAGGGAGAACAATCCCCAAGGCCAGCAGAAAGGAAGGGGAGATCTTCCCTCCCTCCTTTCTGCTGGTGGGCTGCCCAAAAGAGCCCCAGCCAAGCCAGCAGGGAACTTGCACCACTTCAAGTTCACTCATGTGCAGCTTAGCTTACAAAAGCCATTAAAGGGAACTTTAATCTTTATTTGCCTTCAGCAAATCTCTATTTGTCTTCAGACTTGGAATTCCTTCAATTATTTTTCCATCATGGTTCTAAATTCATAACTATGAGGCCTGCAAACTTAGGAAAAAGTCCTACAACTCTGACAACGCTGAGCCCAGCGTATACATCTAATCCAATTACTTGAAAACCCTGAAATATTTCCATTGAGTACTGTATTCACAATAATTTCAGGCGGTTCTACACAACTATAAACTCCTTTCCCAAACCCAAACAGATTTTATTAAGTATTCTTTTTCAGAGGGATTTCAGATTTTACTGATTTCCAGAGCTAAAACCTTAACTAACTACAATGACATACCTTCTTTACTGGTCAAAGGACAGCGGGAACTCCGATACCAGAGAATAATATCAATCTTGAAGAAACTGTAGAATAATATAGCAGCTGTAGTTAGCAGAAATCCCACTAGAAACATTCCAATCAGTGGTCCCCGAAAATCTGGAACTACCTCAATCAAGAAAATGGGGGAGGAAATAAATTTGTGAGACATGGAACTTTGAAACAAAAGCATCAAAGAACCCCGCTGAATTTGAAAATTATTTTCCTGCTTGTCACAAATTATTTCAGACTGCTTCCAATCATGCATAAGGAAATGACTTTTTGTTTAAACATACCACAATTCCAGGAACATAAAAAGTTCATAAGGACATGGGATAGTGCAATTAATTTTTTAACTAGATCAAGGACACATACTCCCTAGGCACAGGAAATAACTCGACCAACCCAATTCTCTGTTTGTATGACAAAGGGATGATAACATAGTCAGAGACACAGACAAAATGAATCACAGAGCTGGCTATTCTTAGTTGTGTTCCCCACACGGTAAAGCAGCCACAGCGGATATCCACCAGTCCCATCACCTGCTGTGTTTCACTGAAGGGTGAAGATGTTTATTTGTTAAAGTTTTTCCCCATTTGATGGAACACGTATCTTTTAAAATCTGTGTCAGCTTTTGGTAACTGGTTTTTGTATTTCTGTTGCAGACCTTGTTTTTTAGTGTGATTTTCATTTTGATTTTGTGTTAAATTGAGAATTTAAATGGGTGTGTGTGTAAAACTGCATTTAGGAGTTGACAAGTGGGGACCCACAAGAAACCTGAGGGGGAGAAGGCATTCCCCTCCTTCATCTCCTCCCCTTTTCTGTCCCTCACTCTTTCTCCACCCTGTCACCCCCCATCTCTTACTCTCTTTTCCCATGCCTGTTACTCTCTGCCCCCCATAATTCCTTCAGCCATCTACTCCATCACTCTCTTTCTCTTTCTGCCCCCTACCCCAGAACTCTCTTTTTCTCTGTCCCCCCCACCCCTGAAGCTCCTCCCATAGCCACCCTCCACAGCTTGTCCAGGTGAGCCAGCAGTGTCTCCCCCCACACACACACCTCTCTTGGTGGCTTGCCTGGAGTGGCTCCGGGTGAACCAAGGCCCCCTTCTTCAGGCAACTCACCTGACATTTCTTCAGGCAGGAACCACCAGGACTGTTAAAGGTAAGTTTTTATTCAAAGGAGAGATTAAACCTCCCAATATTTTAACAATTTTTCATATTTTCCTGCAATTCTAGGGGGGGCCCAAATTTGCTGAAACGTCTGTTTAGGGGGAGGGACTGTGGCTCAGTGGTAGAGCATCTGCTTGGCATGCAGAAGGCCCCACGTTCAATCCCTGGCATCTCTAGTTAAAGGATCTGGCAGTAGGGGATGTGAAAGACCTCTGCCTGAGACCCTCGAGAGCCAGTACCAGTCTGAATAGACAATACTGACTTTGATGGACCTAGGGGACCCACAAGAAACTTGAATCCATTATGAGCGACAGAAAAGGGGAGGAGATGAAGGAGGGGAATGCCTTCTCCCCTCAAGTTTCTTGTGGGTCTCCACTTGTTCAGTAGGGAGATAGGGAGCACCCTTGGGAATTAAATATATAAATAGAAAAGAAATAAACATTGTAAAGAAAATGAGGCAAATAATGGATTCCAGTAAGTAATGCAAAGAGCTGGAACCCAGAATAAATTTCCTCACTTTTGGAACCTGCTGAATGGATCTTGTTTGTGCCCATGTGTATTGACTGTGTATAGATGCCTTTTATTGCTGTTGCCAACTCCCGCTTTTGTATACCCGCTTGGCTAATTGCCTTTGCGCAGCCCTTAAGCAGCCAGTCCTCCCTGACATTCCTGAGGGTGGGGAGTATGTAAATGTGAGAAAGGAGTTATAGTTAAGGCGCCTCTCGTAACTGTTCCTAAGCAGCCCCCCCCCCCCCGGCAGAGTTCACAGACCCCAGCTGGAGCCGTGGCCTTGGGAGACAGACTAAGAGATATCGCTAATTAGGTCGTATAGTCTCTTATCATGACCTGTAGTTGCCTTAGTGGGTGCTTGTGACGTGTGCATGAGGGGTGGACCCCATACCCTACATTCTATCCCAATGCTTTTACCCGCCAGTTCTGGCAAAGGTGTTCACCTGACCAGAAGCCATACTTTACCAATAAACCGGTTTAAGGACTATTGTGTACTGAGTGGTTACTACAGGACCTGACACCTGCTGAGATGTTCAAAAAGGGATAGTTTATTATCTGTGAACCTCAGTGTGTGTTTGTGGAAGGTGTCATCGAGCCACAGCCGACTTACATGGCAACCCCAGCATGGAGTTCCTGCTACAAAAAAGCCCTGGGTTTGGACAACAAACAAGGTAAACAGAATAAGAAGCAAAAGGTGGGTGTGGCTGGATGAGCACACTTCTGGTAACATGGGGGAGAGGCCTAATATGCCAATGAGCGGTGCTGTCAGGGGTGTGGCCTAATATGCTAATGAGTTCCTGCTGTTGGGTGTGGCCTATTATGCTAATGAGTTCCTGCTGGGCTTTTTCTACAAAAAAAGCCCTGGGGCTTCCAAGGCAAGTGAGAAGCAGAGGTGATTTTCCAAGGCCTTCCTCTGCAGAGTCTTCCTCGGAGGTCTCCCTTCCAAGTAGTGACCCTGCTTAGCTTCCAAGATATGATAAGGTCAGGCTGTATCATGCTGCCTTCCTTCCCAAGAACCTCATTAGGGATATACAAGGTCCAGACTTCTATACTCATAATTATGTATGAATACTCCAAAACATCTGCTCCACTTTGGGCATTTTTACACAGTCTTCACACAGCTGCAGCTCTCCATATAGGAGTGGAGCTGACAGGGGTCAGAAGGACAGGAACCGTAGAGAGAAAAATGGATGCAGAAGGGGAAAAGAAAGAAATGACAAAGGGGCTGGATCTCCCATATATTTTGTTATCTAATTCAGCCACAGAGACTTATGGGATTCAGCACTATCCACAAATTTAATATTTTATAGCTTTTGCATTTCCATAGGTCAGGCTACAGAATAGTATCCAAATGCAAATTTGGATTGTCAGTGTGGAAATTAGCACAGAATGAAAAGTGCCAGGCTGGTGTAATGGTTACCATCTTGGACTGTGACCTGGTAGATCCAGGCTTGAGTCCCCAGTTAGCCATGACGCGCCCTGGGGGGCCCTCATTCCTTTCAGCTTAGCTGACTCACAGGGTGGTTCTGAGGATAAAATGGGTTATGGAATAACTCCATACACCGCCTTGAGTTCCTTGAAGAAAGAGCAGTATAAAAGCATGACAGACAAATAATAAATGAAAAAGAGATGAAGACACGCTTACCTTTGCTCCTCAGTGTAACATGTGCTGCAACTTGACCAAAAGAATTCAAAGCGTGACACACAAACACATTTTCATATTCCTCGTCACTGACTTTTGAAATGTTCAGTCTCACTCTTAAAAAAGGCTTTCCTTCAAGGACAATCTCTTTCCTATTTTTTGTTAAAAAAATAAATAAAAATAGTACAAATTATGAAAAGTCAACATCTCCCCCCCCCAATGCAGCATTTGAACAAGAACACAGACGACAGTCCACTTCCTTCCCTCCATACACACTGCTCTGAGTATATGAGGGACGTGTCGCCCTTTCAATATATTTAGATCAATTTCTTGATAACTGGCTATAATCTTCAGAGCATATGCCTCTTCAACAGAGACTACTGTACACTGCTTTGTCTTGCTCATTTTACAAAGAACCCCAGTCCATGGCTCCATTATGCCAGTGCTCAGATGGACAGTCTATTTGCGTTTCTCTTTAAGAAAACCAAAAAGTAGTGCCTGTGGCTTTAAAAAAACAGATGCCCTGAGTGGCATTCCAGGTTTGGTTTATGCTTCGCTTCTGTCAGTAAAAGGCAGGGAAAAGGAGTGTGTCCTTTTCCAGGGTTGTTTTGGACTTTGAGGAAGGACGCTTTGGGGCCAGGCCTGGCAGCAACCACCAGGCAACTTGATACCACCCAAACATGCTGTCATTCAGACTCACTCAGGCCTGGCTCTTGGCTACTGTTCAACAACTGCCACGCCACAAAGCCACTGTGATGTAGTGGTTAGAGTTTCAGACTGGGTCCTCAAAGCCCCATTCTGCTATAGAAACTCACTGGGTTACCTTGGGCCAGTTACACATTCTCAGCCTAGCCTACCTCACAGGGTTGTTGTGAGGGTAAAATGGAAGAGGGGAGAATTATGTAAGCTGCATTGGGTCCTCACTGTGTAGAAAAGCAGGATATGAATGAAGTAAATAAATAAGATAAAAGGTAAATTGGTGGCTGGGTGTGCAGGAGAGAAGGAAGTAGGGAAAGGTGAGAATATGAGAGTTGCTAGAATGAGGGAAACATGAAAAAGTGTGAGGAGGGGGATGCAGGACAAAGTTAAGTGCCCCCCACAAGCCCTCATAAATTTCCCCCCCTTCCAGTGCAAATGGGCCTAGCTCAGCTGGAACTGGTCAACTGGGCCACAGGTTTCCCAGGCAGAGGCTGCTGGGGAAAGGAAGGAAGAACAGCTGAAGACAGGGGGCAGAGAAAGCTAGGCTGGCTGGTGGGTGGAAAGGAGAGAAGGAAGCATGTAAAGGGGAGAAGTTATGGGGGCTCTAGGGAAAAGGTAAGAGGATATGGTGAAGGAGGCGAAAATAAGATTCACCCCCACAAGTCCTTGTGGGCCCCCCCCCCGCACTTGTAAAGTCTAGAAATAAGATGTAACATTAAAGTATTTTCTCCATTTCGTACAACTCAGAAGCATTTCCCTTTTAGTGACATTGTGGCCAGGCATTTAATTAAACTTTGTCAAGGCCACTGGGAGCCTGATAAAAGGCCACCCAGTCTGGGGACAACAGCTAATCACTGCTGCTCTCTAGAAGCGAAAATATTTCCTGCTTATTCATTTGTTAGATTAGCAGATGTTACAAACTATTTAAAGCACCTCTGCAAATCAAAACATCAGTTTCCGCATCTTAAAGGACAAGAAGATTATTACCACATTAAAATATAAATATCTTGTTCAGAGGCATTTTCTACTGTTCAAGTCTTTGCACATATGGAAAAGCCTACTTACTCGTAAATTTCAAAAACGTTTTTGCTATGCTTGTAATAGTGATCAATATAGGAGTTATTCACTGTCCAGAACACATGATCTACTTCGGCACCTGATGTATTGCAGTCAATTATGATATTAGAACCTTGGGGGGGAAATCCACAACAGCATTATTACATTAAAAACTGTTCCCCTCTATGCCCATGAGTCAGAGTGCTCCCCTCTTCTAGAAGAAACTCAAAAACATGCCAATTAGAAAGGAAACCAAACAGAGCCTCACATGAAAAAAACCCAAGCGAGCATGTATTTCCACAGAGTTTCAAGGACAGATTTGAGGAGTACCACAAAGAAAACATGAAAAATTTGCAAACATATGTCAGCTATGTGATTTAGTAACAGCAAGGTTGCCTTAGAGCTTCCCAGACATGAAAGCAATTCCTTCCCACAATGCTGCCTTCAAGCAGAGGGTCACAGGCTTTAATGATAACTGAACACTCTATAAATCCACTTTGGTCTTCTTTGCTCCCTCTCTGAGAGAGCGAGAGAGAGGCCTGCTGCAAAGAAGGAAATGAGTGGCTGGTATCCAATGTCACTTTCAGTTCACAAGCCACTTCAGAGGTTGGTAAAGGAACTGCGCTTACATTTTTCAAGAAAAGAAAGTGCGCCTTTGATTACTAGGAAAGGCATAGCACAAACAGACCACAGAGTTTGAATTGTGGGGGCTCCTGACCTATCAAAACAATGACCATGGGATAAACAGGCAGGCAGTGGCAAACCACTTCTGAATGTAACTTGCCTTGAAAACCCTGCAGGGTCACCATAAGTCAACTGAGACCTGACAGCACTTTCCACCACCAAGCAATGTACAGACACGTGGTCACTCCTTACAGGAAGGCTGCTTACCAAGTTCTACTTCAATTGAGTGGTTTCTTGGGAAAAAAATTTCTGGAGGCTTCCTTGGTGGGCTTTCTAGGGGCAAAAAAAGGGAAGCACTTTGTTATGTATTGATACGGACATGTCTGGACACGTAGCACTAAGGAAGCCATGCGGTCTAGCGCACCATCAGGATTTAGAATAGCCAACTCGGATCCTAGTGGAGACCAATAAGTTTGCCCGGATCCTAAGGTTGACCTATGATCGACTCTTACACTGTAAATAGCCAATCATGGGAGTGGGGTGTGTATTGGGTGTTGTGTGCTGCACGGATAAAAGCAGGGTTCAAACCCGGCTAGTTTGTCTTTTAGTTGAGCTGAACTTCACTAATAAATATGAGCTGATCACATGCTATGCATCTGAACCCAGTACATTATACACTTACTTCTGCCAGCAGTTACATAGACAAGCATGATAATCAGGACTTTTTTTAGAGCTGTAGACACAGTTAAACTTGGGGTGGGAAGGAACTGGGCTAAGCACCTGCCCCTCCTCTTGGTATCTGAAGGGTCCTTGGCCCTGTGTGAGCTGTGTTACTGGAACAAGCACAGCCAGGGACATCTTTGAGACTCATCATCTGCTATAACACTGTACCAGGGGACTGCTGAGTTGTATACACTGTAATATTCTTCACCCGTTTCATTTTTAAGACACACTGAGTCCCCAGTGTGGGAGGAAAGAAAGACAAAATATTTAACATAATAAATAAATCACTCCTCCTCTTCCTGCTTAATGGACGTCCAATGTCATAACTTAGAAATGGAGCACCAAGACTGTGGTGGTGACGCTAAGCGAGTCCAAGACTAATATGGGATTTGTATACACCTCTAAAGCCACAACTATTTTGTTGTTTTTCACATCAAATATTTATTGCCTTTGTCATTTAGACCCCACCGCTCTCCCAGATGGGGACTCAAAGCAGCTTACATTGTACTCCTCCCTTTCTTTTTAATTTTATAACCACCCTGTGAGATAGGTTAGAAGGAGTGTGTGTGACTGGCCCAAGGTCACCTAGCAAACTCCCATGGCAGAGTGGGGATTCGAGTCTGGCTCGTCTAGATTCTAGTCCAACACTCTACCCACTACATAACAGTGGCTCCCATGTGTGAAACCCTAACCTGGACAGCCCAGGCTAGCCCGATCCCTCAGATCTCCGAAGCTAAGCAGGGTCAGCCTTGGCTAGTATTTGGAAGGGCGACCTCCAAGGTATACCAGGGCTGTGACGCAGAGGCAGGCAATGACACACCACCTCTGAAACGTCTCTTGCCTTAAGTCTAGCTCACCACCTACTGGTGCATAACACAAAAAGAGCTAGAGCCTCCGGCTGCGAGACAATCTTAGGATCTCCTGGCTATTCTACACATAACGTCATATGATAATTAATTAATTAATTTGTATAGTGATAATGTACCATACTTGAACCCCAGAAAAAACAGCTGAAATTTAGCAGAAGGTGGGAAAGGGCCCTCCCCTCAGCTGCTGTTTCTTACTTTCCAATCCTCCCCTCCCAAAGCAAGTTGTTATAACAACAAAGAGCCATCATGCTACCATTGGGCTCTTAAGTAAGATTTTTTTAAAAATTTGCAGATGAGCCACACATTCTCTATGCCTGTACTGTCCAATCAACCCACCTTGCATATATGTTGTAATGAAGGGGTTTTTTGAGCACATGTATCTTTAAGGAGATCGAAGCAAATTTTGGTTGGTGGAGCATGGGAAAATTTGGGGGAGGGCTGCGCCTGCTGCTCCTCTTGCAGCAGCAGAAGCAGCAGCTCCAGCTCTGCTGCAACCTCTCGTCCTCCTTTTGACTGGAGAGACTTGATTCTGGGCTGTTTTTCTGTGTAAGCCGAAGGATGGGTTGCTGACTCTCTTTGCATTTTGCAATTTTATTTTATTTTATTTGCATTTTTAAAACCCATTGATTTTTTTCAGCGCATAAAAGAGAAAATGAAACTGACGCTTCCCTGACTGTGCCCGAGATCATTTTGGAAACCTCACATGCATCTTACATTTTAAAAACATTTTTTGATTATTTTTTTTTTAAAATTGCCTGCAGGGTCACACTCATATGTGGGGGCATTGCCCCCAAATCCCCCCCCCCCCATGGCTATGGGCTTGGGTTCCACTGGCCTAAAAGGAACATGATTTCAGAAGGCAAAAACGGGGCAGTGAGGAGGGGGTAGTTGGGAAAGTTGCTTTTCTCTAGTGATACTCCTCTTGCAGTGCTTAGAATCTAAGTCCAGTGCCCAAGCAACCCCTTGGATATTTGCAGAGATGGGCTATCCCTTCCTTTATAAGCCTTCATACAAATTACTGGTTCTTTCCTTTCAAATGACCTCCTCCAAACCAGAGATATGAAGGCCAGGGGGAAATAATGGGTTATTTCCATTTCTTTTCTTGCCTTAAGTCTAGCTTTTCCACCACCACCACCAAATTTCTGATGGAAACATTGGGAAATTTGGGGGGAGATCTGAAAATACAAACTTCTGTGAAAAGATTTATCTTTCCAAATGAGTGAAGTTCTTCTTAAGGCAATGTTTTCTAACCCAAACATATAACATGAAAAATATCTGAGGGGGAGGGGAAATTTGGAGGAGCCCCAGAAAGAAACCTGCTAGTATGAAAATTTGTAGCAATGTGTAGTGAGACAATCTATAGCATTAGATAATGATAATCTCTGACTGTGTCTACAACACTGTAATATTTTTGTTTAAACGTAAATAATTTTGGCACAATTGATACGTTTGTGTGTTTAATGTTTTTATTAAAGAATGCTCAATGATAAAGTTTAGCCTAATATTCAAATATGCTGGTAGTCCTTCCTGTTATGACCGCAGTAGGGTGCTTCTCTTCAAATACACTTTATTTTGTTTACTAGAAAACTTGTTTTCAACTTTCAATTTTATTTTTCCCCTGCCTCTCAGTGGCACAAATTAAGACATGTGCTCTACAGTAGCACAGAGTGCAGCAGTTTGAAACCCTCTCTCCACTATTGGATATACTTGCAGTTTTTCTTATAGAAAACAAAGACAATTTATACTCCTATAAATTCCATAAATGCCAAAGAATAAAATTTTCTAAATGATGCATTTTATGTTGTTAAATCAATAAAAGCAGTTTAAGCTTGACAGGAAAATAGTCCATATATATTTCAGTTTTCCACAAAATTTTCATTTCCCCCCTTGGGAAAAAAGGCTTTTCCCGTGACTTCAAAACTGCTGCATCCTAAACTCATTTAAGAACTCTTCTGTCCACTGCCATCCCAATCTTGTCACATCATTTGCAACCAGATACCATTTGAGCTTTCTGCATTACCTAAGATCCCAGCCCAGAGCTACCGCAAATAAAAAAGAGTTTACCTCTAACTTCCAGACTGATGTCTCTTGAAACGTTGTATTGTTTTCCCATGTAATAGTACGGCATTTGGCATGTATAGTTTCCTTGATCTTCCACAGTTGTATTGGCAATCATAAGAAACTTATCTAAAGGCCGAAACCTTCTGTCCTTAATTAATTTGCAATCCTAAAAAAAAATCATAGAAGTATGCATGATACAGCATGTAATGCATAGTTAGACCTCTAGATTGAAGCCATGTAACATTAATAACCTACACTGATTTCTGCTTTATGGACTTCAAACTAACATGTTAGGTATTGGGTGGGGGGGCGGTTAGTTCTCAAAACTCTAGGCATTGAAACCAGCATGCAAATTAACCCATATATTTACAGCAATATGTGCCCTAAGACTCCCATATTCTTGTTAGGTTTATGAAGATCAAGATGCACATTTTCACTTCTGTTAATGCATTTCACATATACAATACACATTTTCTTTCAGAAGTTTTATGTTTGGCCTCATTTGATTTACATATTTTGTAGTAATAATGTATTACCAAGTATCCCATCCTGCATGATCATACAATGGACACGACTGAATTATTATCACTGAGAAATTCAACAGGATCGCTAAGCATATGCTTGAAGAAAACTGGAAAGTGTGTCTACCTTGTACCAGAGAATGGTTAAAATGGGGGGTTTGTCATTGAAATAATCCAGATTAGGACACACAATCTTTGAATTTGATGCTGTGATCACATCCTGAAGAAGGGCAAACTTGGCATTGAAACACGAACCATTAGTGTTTTGAAAGACTGATAATTTAAAATACATTTTGCTGCAATGCGTTGAATTCCTACAGCAAAAAAGAGAAAGAAATTAGCTCATTTGAAATAGGATGTTAGTTCATCAGCATTCATAGAACGTGCAACCTCCTCTGCCACCCGCCACCATGAAAATGCTGAAAAATTCACCACTCTTTATACTATAGCAGTTTTAATTCGATAAAGGAGCTCGCTTTACTGCAGAATATGTGCTTTGGGAAAGCAAAGGTGGCCTCAGTAGTCTTTAGAACTTACTCTAGTCCCCACATGAGTAATATCCCAGAGATGACCAAGTATAAATCTGTTGTTCGTAATGGACAGCAGCAATAGAGCTTCATGCACAGCCTTTATATAGCCACGTCCTATTCAGAACGGGACCAGCACAACTCTGGCTGCATGTGTAGCCCACCCTCTCTCTCATTCACCTTTCTGTCTTTAGAGACTTGGGCCTGAAGCTGTGGTGGGGCATCTGGTGGTGGAGCCCCACCATAGACAAGCCCTGCCCCTCCCTGGGAGGATGCCAGACCCCTGGTGCCCCACATCCTCGCATAGGCAGGAGGCTGGGGAAGGAAAGGGGAGGTGCCCTGCCGCTTCTGGTCAGTTTCACTCCCCCTGATCAACCTAAATTATGCTTAATTTAATTAGTGACTGCCCCCTAATGTTCCTAAATGCCCCCCAAAAAAACATTCCTGGCTACAGGTACCATAATTTTAAATAGCATGCATTTCGAGAATGTTCAAAGTGTATATGTAACCTATCACTAAATTCAGCCACTGTACCAGAAGACTGGTGAATAGCAAATGTTATACTGATTTTAAAAGGGGGGGGTCCAGAGGGGAACTAGGAAATTACAGGCCAGTCAGCCTAACATCTGTCCCAGATAAATTCGTAGAAACTATTATCAAAGATAGAATTATTAGGCACAGAGAGGAACAAAGCCTGCTGAGGGAAAACCAGCATGGCTTCTGCAAAGGAAAGTCCTGCCTCATAAGCCTTTTGGAGTTCTCTGAAAGTGAACAAACATGAAGAGAATGGTGACCCAGTAGATGCTATATACTTGAATTTTCAAAAGGATTTTGACCAGGTACCTCTCTAAAAAGTCCTGAGTAAATTTGGGAGTCATGGGATAAGAAGATGGGTTCTCATTGATGAAAAATTGCTGTAAATGACAGGAAACAAAAAGTAGAAATAAATGCACAGTTCTCAAAATGGAGGGAAGTAAGCAGTGGGGTCCCACAAGGAGCAGTCTTGGGGGCAGTACTATTTAACTTGCTCATAAATGATCTGGAACAAGTGATAAGCAGTGTAGTGGCCAGGTTTGCAGATGACAAAGAATTATTCAGGATGGTGAGAACCAAGGATGGCTGCGAAGAGGTCCAAGAGGATCTCCACAAACTGGCTGACTGGGAGACAATGTGGCAAATGAAGTTAAATGTTGGTAAGTGTAAGGAGATGCACATCGGGACAAAAAATCTCAACTTCAAATATAGGCGAATAGACCAAACTTGCTGAGTCTGAGAGGGAAAAAGATCTTCGGGTCATAGTCAGTGTTCCCTCTAAGCTGAGTTAGTGTGAGCTAGCTCACAGCTTTTTATCCTCCGGCTCAGACATTTTTGTCTTAGCTCAGGAAGGAGGGCTCCAGAGCAAACTAATTCATGCAGTAGCCAAATCGTTCGCTCACAACTTTAATGCCAGTAGCTCACAAAGTAGAACTTTTTGCTCACAAGACTCCACAGCTTAGAGGGAGCGTTGGTTGAGAGTCCCTGCAGAGGTGCAAATTTTCTGCAATTTAGGAGGGCCTGCTGTGAGTGCACATGCATAGACAGTGAGGAAATCACTCCTCCTGCCTCCTTGTCCACATGCAGAGAAGAACAGCATCAGAGTAAGGCGGAATCACTTGTGGGTGGACGGGATTCCTTTTTAGTACACAGGAAACCCTCATGGCTTTCTCTCTCATCCCCACAGGCAGTTCAGCACAGCCGCTGCACCACTGCCAGTCAGCCCTTCGGTGTTCTGTACATGCTTTCATTGTTATTTTTATATTTTTGTATGTACTTTAGCTCTGGTTTTAATTGTTCTAACGATGTAATTTTGTTGGTTTTTTTATTACATATGCTTTAATTTGTAAGCTCCCTTAGTGGCCCTTATGAGGGCATAAAGACAGGGTATGAATATTGTAAAATAAAAAATAAATATGCAAAAGCTCCCCTTCTCTTCCACCCCCCGTTTTATCTGACCACCTCTTATTGCTTCTACAAGGCTTTGCAGATGCTTGTTCCAGTGACTTCCCCTCCCCACAGGTGAGATCATCACTCTGGCTCCTCCTTTTCCCATCATGTGATGGTAATGTTATCAGACTGGGGTGTCACATGTTGACGCTTGAGAGTAAAAGGTGGGTTTCAGGTCTGAAAAGGTGCCCCCATCTCTAAAGGTCCTGCTGATGGCTCCTGTCCCAACATGCAAGTGATTCTTAGAGATGTCTGAAAATGCTGGAGATACTTCAAGTTTGGTATACACCAAAGCACTATGGAAAATTCAGCTGCCGTTCCAAAATACTTCCAACTACAGATAACTGGGACCCTTATCTTGAATTCAGATCTCATAGCCCCTAAAGGGTTATCCCCAAAATAGGCCAAAGAAAACAATTCCTCCAAACTAGAATATCAAGAATACATACACACTCATTTGCTCTGTGTGTGGAAGCATTATGTGTTTTTATTTTCAGATGATTAATTTGAAATAGAAACTCTAAGTTGTTTCAGCTTGAGCCCTGTGAACTGTTTCAGTTGAAGACCTTGGGTTTTTTTCTTTAAGAGCTCTACACCTGGAAGTAATAATTAGCTATTTGGCCTTGATTGGCTGGCAGGTTGTTTAATATTGATTTATTTTAGAACTCACTCAACTTTGTTGGGTTTCCCCAAAAATGAAGTGTGGAGCAGCGTTGTTAATGGGTGACTCCCCCCCCTTCCCCAGAGCCTAACCGGAGCCTGAAGAGGTGAGCCTTTAAAGAGCAGAGTGCTTTGAGTCCTGCCAAAGTATATAAGCTGCCCCTTGCCAACTAGAGGCCTGGAGCCCCTGCAGACTTGGCAGGAGAACCAAGAGAGAAGCTCCTGGTTCACACATCCTGCTTTGCTGCCACCATGTGTGAACCAGGAGCTTCTCTCTTGGTTCTCCTGCCAAGTCTGCAGCGGCTCCAGGCCTCAAGTTGGCAAGGGGCAGCTTATTTACTTTGGCAGGACTCAAAGCACTCTGCTCTGTAAAGGCTCACCTCTTCAGGCTCCGGTTTGGCTCTGGAAAAGGGGAGGGAGTCACCCATCAACAACACCGCTCCACACTTCAGCTTTTGGGCAGCCCGACAAAGTTTATTGAAGATGATTTTAAAAAATAACAAATCACTGCATGGTGACAGTGAAAAGGCAAACATAGCAGCATCAACAAGGTTTCAAGCTCTCAGACCCACATGATCTGACCAGTGAGTGAGTTCTAAAGAAAAGCAATATGAAACAACCTGCCAGCCAATCAAGGCCAAATAGCTAATTATTACTTGCAGGTAGCTAATTATTACTTGCAGGTGTAGAGCTCTTAAAGAAAAAAACCCAAGGTCTTCAACTGAAACAGTTCACAGGGCTCAAGCTGAAACAACTTAGAGTTTCTATTGCAAATTAATCATCTGAAAATAAAAACACATACTGCTTCCATACACTCTACCATACTTTTTTTTTTTAAACCACTTTAAAAAATCTTTATTTGTAGTTACATAACCTGGTCTTTATCCTGGAGTTTCATGAGTGTGTAAGTGGCACCCTCATGTGGTCAAATCACAGATTTCAAGCCATAAAAAAGCCACACAGAAATTAGTCTCACAGTTCATCCTGCGGTGGGGCTGTAAGATTACTGAGTAGCAATGGTGCTCTTCAACCTAACAAAAAACTTAGACCAGCAGAATGCAACTGCCACTGGCAGAGGAGGGGGGTGGCAATTTTTGCCAATGCCCTTTTTCCACTATGGGCCTAGCCCCCATTTTTGTCCTCAAAATTGTTTGTGTTCCTTTCAGCCCCAGACAGATGTACATGGAGGAGGCATGGAGAGAAAGAGAAGGCAAGAAAGCCGTTCCATGACCTGAGGTCCACTGATGGCAGTTTTGATCTAACCCACTGCTCTCAGACCACTGGCTTTTGAAGTATACTGTTTAAGTATTCAAACCAGGGCTCTTTTTGTAGAGAAAGCCCAGCATGAACTCATTAGCATAATAGGCCACACACAACATCAGGAATGCATTAGCATATTAGGCCACACCCCTGCCAGCACAGCTCATTAGCACATTAGGCTGCACCCCCATGTTGCCAGAAGTGTGGTCATCCAGCCACACCCACCTTTTGCTTCTTATTCTGTTTACCTTGTTTGTTGTAAAAACCCAGGGCTTTTTTGTAGCAGGAACTCCTTTGCATGTTAGGCCACACACCCCTAATGTAGCCAATCCTAATGAATTTCTGCTGTTGGGTGTGGCCTATTATGCTAATGAGTTCCTGCTGGGCGTGGCCAACTCGGGAGCCAGCCGGAACTCCGTTCCTGTGCGTTCCTGCCCAAAAATAGCCCTGTTAAATCAAAACTATGTTTATGGTATATAATTTTTCTCATAGTCTGAAACTATTTAGATGACTATTAGGATTAAACAGAGGGCCACACACAACCAAGGCAATGGGAAACCTTACTAGAACCAATAGAGTTTTATTTATTGTGCTATCAAGTCACAGCTGATTTATGGAGACCCCATAAGTAGGTTTATCAGATGTCCTCTCTTTTTTTGGTGTCTGTCCTCTTTTGGTCTCTTTTTAAAAAACTGATGAAAATGTCCTGTTTTTGTGTTGGAAGGTTAGCAATATTCCTAGTTAGTAGCAGTTATCACAGCTTAAATAGTAAAGGTCTTTAAAATGAGATCTGCCATAGTGATCACTTGTTTGAAATAGTCTGTCAGGAAATAAGTCTTCTTTTTTGTTTTTCAGAATATGATAATCCTAACATTCAAGGCAAGAGACATTCGGAGGTGGTTTGCCATTGCCTGGCTCTGCGTAAAGACCCTGCTATTCCTTAGTGGTCTCTTATCCAAATAATGGCCAGGGATGACCCTGCTTAGCTTTGGAGATCTGATGAGATCGAGCTAGACTGGGCTATGCAGGTCAGGTTAGGTTACACCTATCCTAAAATGTAAGTAGATCAAGTTGGGTAGCCATGTTAGTCTATCTGTAGCAGTAGAAAACAGCAAGAGTCCAGTAGCACCTTAAAGACTAACAAAATTTGTGACAGGGTATGAGCTTCCGTGAGTCACTGCTCACTTCAGTGACTCATGGAAGCTCATACCCAGCCAAAAATGTTGTCGTTTTTAAGGTACTACTGGACTCTTGTGCTTTTCTACTAAAATGTAGGTGTTATGGTAGTAAATGTATTACTTATTGCTGTTGCTAATCAGGTTTGTTTTGTCAGCCCTTGGAAAACAAATGAACGTTCATAAAGGAGTGTTAATGTAGGCTTGTTCTAATGTTTTCCAAAGGGGAAAAAAAGATCTTCTAATAGATGCAATCTATATATCTAATAGTCAAGGCGCCCCCCGCGTGTGGATATCTAAACCCGCACATCAGGGTCACCAGGGGGGCAGGGAGATTTTCCTCCACATTTGGGGCAAATCTATAAAAAACTATAGGGGGATACTTAAATCCCCCCAAAAGTAAAAGAGCGTTCCCTGCGCTCTGCAAACACTCTGCAAACTGCCTCACCGCTGGGGGGGGGGAGAAGGCTTGGCCAGCTGGCAACTATGAGCCGCTCAGCTCTCGCTGTTGCCACAGCCGCCACTGGGGGGGGAACCTTGGTGGGTCGGCCAGGCCTCACCGCCACTGCGCTAGGGGAGGGGGGAGGGAGAAGACTTTGGCGGACCAAGCTCAGGCCTCGCCACCATTGCTGTAGGGGGCAGGGAAGGTCTGGTGGGCCTGACCGCTCAGAGCCACACGGGCCTCGCTATCGAGGCCAGGCAGGGGTGGGGGAGAAGGCTCACCTGTGGTGGCTTCCTCCTCTGTGTGGAGCTCCCCCCCACGAGTATCATGGGTCACCACTTCTTGTTTCATTCTATAGTAAAAACTAATGCTTGATGTGGCCTCTCCTGCTTATTGGTTCCTGATATCAAGGCACTCCTTGTCACCTGTGGAATATTTAACCTTATCTTACTGCTAATTGATTCTAAAGAAGTGGAGTCAGAATCAGAGAAGGGCACAAACCAGGAAAATGGAGGTTTGTGGTGGTTCATGGTTTGCAAACCTCCACAGACTTTTCCATTTGCCACACCGGTTCAGGTTCATGAGGTTTGTGCAGCTTCCAAGTGGGGTGGAGAACAAAGGGCTCGCTGAACTAGCTCGCATCTATTAGTTCAGCGATGCCTTTCGCTCCTCCCCACGGAAGCCATGGCAGCTCCTGCAAGGCAACTCAGAAGCCATTCCGGGAAGTGAAGGTGGGCATTTTTAAATGCCTTCCCTTCCCTCCCTGGGTTGTGATGCCACGGCGGCACACCTCCAGGAGTAAAGGAAAAGGCAGCAGCGGGGCTTTAAAGGGTTCTCAGTGGTTGCCCTGGCCACCAGCATGTCTGGCCCACAAACCTTATTACAAACCAAACTGCCCCCCCCCAACAATGGCAGTTCATGAGGGTTCGTGAACAGCTGAACTGCCCAAAACGCAGTTCACGAACCAACACACCAGCTCAGCTCATCACAAAATTCAGTTCATAATTCAGTTTGTGCCTATCCCTAGTCAGAATTCCAATTGTTTGAGAGTTTGGAAACAGGAAGATCTGGAAGGCCTGAGTATAATCAAACAAATTCAGCTACCGTACCCATAATTTAGGTGAGGAACAGGCAAAAATACTCTTAAGACTTGCTCTTAAGGTAATTCTATTTAAGTTTTTAAAATTTAATTTACCTTTAAGTTTCAAGCTCGCTTTTAAAACATTGAGGTCTATGCTAAAGTACTTTACCTTATAGCACATTCATAAGACCCCGAATCTTCTAAAATTGCAGGAAGGAACCAAATGAAGGTTGCCCGCTGCTGAATTCGGGAATGCGGGTCTTCCAACACAGGAGTGTGATCACCAGCTCGGTACCAGGTCAAGTTGTGCTCTTCGAGCTCCAGATTTAGCATTTTGTCTGGCAAACAGTTGATAGCCAAAGGCTGGCCTTCAAGTACAAAATGCTGTAACTTGCTGCTCCAATTGTACACACTGCACTGATCTAAATAAAAACAAAGATTAAAGAGAGAATTTCAGCGGTAAATATACACTCATAAAGACCAATATGAAAGCCATGGTGTAGTGTTTAAGAGCAGCAGACTCTAGTCTGCAGATCTGGGTTCGATTCCTCACTCCTCCACACAAAGCATGCTGGGTGACCATGGGCCAGTCACTGTTCTCTCAGAACCCTCACAGCCCCATCTACCTCACAGGGTGTCCACTGTGGGGAGAGGAAGGGAAGGCAATTGTAAGCTGCTGCAAGACTCCTTAAGGTAGAGGTAAGTGTGGTATAAAAACCAACTCATCTTTATACACACACACACACACACACACAAATAGTCTTTAACTAGATAAATGTGCCTCTTTCCAGTTTGCAAACAGCATTCTTGTAAGCACAGTATCCCAAATTATGCACACTAATAGATGAATGGCAATTTTAATTTGTTTTATTTATTTCATTTATACCCCAACTATTCTCCCCAATGGGGACCCAAAGTAGCTGACATGATTCTCGGCTCCTCTGTTTTATCCTCACAACTACCCTGTGAGGTAGGTTAGACCATGATACTGGCCCAAGGTCACCCAGCAGGCTTCCAAGGCAGAGTCAGGATCCACACCTGGGTCTCCCAGATCCTCTAATCATTACACCACACTGGTTCTTTTACAGGGGCTTGGGAGCATCTCATTGCCAATGGGCTTGATGCTGTTGCCAGTGATTATTAATATTTTAGTGCAGATTGCCTTAAGGGCCAGCAATGGAGAAATCTGAAAAACGAGTCACAGCACTAACACACTTGCGCTACTATAACTGAAATACGTTCTGCTCCCAGAGCTGCTTTGCAGGAGACGCCTCCGCTCTTCTTTAGTGATGACCAGCATAGCTTTGTTGCAAGTGGAGGATAGGGGAAGAGAGTGTAGAAGGGACCAGGATCGGGACTAACAACTCTGTCGGTGCAGCCTTAAGCAAGGCTACTCAGAATCCTACTGAAGTCTGCTTAATGGCCTTACTCCCAGGAAAGTGGGTTTAGGATTGTACTGTGAGAGTGGCTGATGTGCTGGGTCTATGTACCGTGGCTCACAGCACCTGGACTTAAGGTGCTTTTCTGACACAGGAAATGATCACACCTTGCATGAAAACAGAAGCAGCCTGGTTCTATTTACGGCATGATGAAGCAGTAGTGTACCAGGTGGCATGGATTTTGTACAGAGTGCAATCAAATGTTCTGAGAGATTACACACAGTTCTAAAAGGATGAAATCAGGTATTCCAGTTTAAAAAAACCTAACAGACAGTTATGCCGTGATTATATTCCGCAGGGCCTGCAAGACGGAGCTCTTCCACCAGGCCTTTAAGTAGGAGCCGCCGCCACCACTATTACACCTCCGCCTCTTGTGCACTGTCATATTACCATCATGATTGTTTGGTTCCTACGGGGGGAGTGAGGTGCCTGGGCACGGATTGGATGATAAGATCTCAGGGAGTTGCTATGGAGCTTAAGATCTACCCATCTTGGTTAAATCTGTATTGCAAATTTGTTACTGTATTTTATTGTAATCTATTGTTTTTAAATTATGTGTTTATTGTTGTAACCTTGGCACATGGTGCCCTTGTCAGCCGCCCTGAGCCTTCAGGGTAGGGCGGGATATAAATCCAAATATAAATAAATATGAATATATATTATGCACAAAATGGTCAGGTATGTATGCAAAGGTTTTCTGTCAGTGGCACAGAGAACACTGATGCAAATAAGGTTTGTATGACTAAAACCAGTGAGTGTGTTGGGGAGCAGGGGTCCCAATCTTTCTAAAGTCCAGTAAGCAGTAGGACATGGGATAGTTCTTGACTCCGAGTCCTAAGCACCAGTACAAAGGGAACAGGTTTCACATGGAGATTTTTCTCCATTTCAGCAACTCCATTTATGTGCCTTTGTGTGTGTGTGGGGGGGGGGGGTTTAACACAATAGTGTCCTCCTTTCCTGCTCAAATCAGTCTGGGGTTTTTTTTCCCTGCTAAAAACTCCACTTTCTAAAAGATCTTTAAAAACTTTCCTGGTATGGCTCTCTTGGAATGGTCATCTTCATGTGTCCACCAGGGAAGGTACACCTTGAGTGAACAACCTTTGCATTTTTCAGTGAACTGGCTAGGTGTTCTTGAGTGTCACCAATAAAAATTGAGATTTAAAAAAAACTGGGGTCAGTAGCACTGTTATCACATTAGGCCAAAACAAGGGGCAGGTGCTCTGCTTTCCTGATGAGCATTTGAAAATTACCTGAACTACTCAGTAGCCTTCACCCCAAGTTCTTCAAGGCCAGTTAGTATTTCAGTGTAGACAACCACTCTTCAGCAATTAGTATTATCAAAGAATTCAAATATTGCTACATATGCACCAGGAAGTTAAAAAGATGGCTGGACAAGAGAGAGAGAGAGAGAGAGTGTGTGTATGTCTGAATGCATGTGTGTTTGGGGATGAAACCTGCATCTGATGTGCAAGGGAAACCAGGACTAACAAGGGTGAAAAACCAGGTTATTCTGTGCCACATGGAATCTCTGTTGCAAGAGCAAACTGAGCAATATCGCAGGGGACTGGGACCTTTTTGAACTTATGGGCACCTTTAGAATTTTGAAAGGGGGCTGTGAGCATCATCCCAAAATGGCAGCCAGAGGAGGTGGAGCCAAGCCCAAAATGGCTGCCACAGGAGGCAAAACCAAACACAATACCACCCTCCTTGCTCTGCAAAAGAATCACATGGCAACTACACTGAAACATACCATGCCACCTTATTCAGAGTCTGGCCATTCATCTGTCAAGGTCTGCATTTGGCTGGAACCACAGCCCAGCAACTAGAAAGATAGCAAGCCCAAAGGAGAAGTAGGTGGGTTTCTAGTCCTGAACTATCACCTCCCCTCATGGAACAGCCCTGCTCCCTGGATTCTAAGACTAAAACAAAGCTCCCTCTCTGCTTTGCAAAAGAAGCTCATGGGCAATAATCAGTCATGCCTGAAGGTAGAACAGAACCACACACTGGAAACGAAAAGCCAGGGGTTACCAATCCTCCAGGTGGCTCTGGCTGCTTTTGCTGCCATGGAAAACCCTTTCGTTTGAATGAAGGCAGCTGTTAACAAGCACTACTTTACAAGAGCCCTGCCAACTTTCTCACAAATTTGGTGGGCACGGGGGGAGGGGGAGCAGAATGGGAAGGAACGGAAGGTCTGTGGACTTCAGCAAATAGGAGGAACTCAGGTTCATTTAGCCATGGTATTAGACAGACTGGCTGAGCATGTCTTGCAAACCCTGGGCACTTGAAAATGCTTCAATGCTTATCAACATACCTGCTTTAATAGAAGAAAGGAAGACTGTTGTTAAACTGCAGGAGAATAACGTGGTCACTTTCATGCTGCACTAAGGAGGAAATGACATATCATCAATAATCTCTGCATTGCAGCTTGCACAATGCACATTTCAAACTCAAGTATGCATTTATTTTAAACAAGGGAATCTGAAGGGGGGAAAGGTGAAATGTGAATGCGCCACGGCATAGCCATGTCAGTGAAGGTCAAGTAAAGAACTGAGGAGAATGTTTGACCCAGTGATGAGCCAGCACTGTTATCTGTGTTCTTAGCTGAAGTCTCCAAAAGTCTGCATTCTCGTCTGACAGAGCAAACTAACTTAATGAACCTTTAACACAGTTTCTTAAACTATATTAGTCAGCAGTTTGTATTGCACTTGTAGTGTACCAAAGATAAGATAGTGATATGTTAAGAAGAAATAATATGTTAAGAAGGAAGATTGCTTTTCTGTTGTTTGAGTTAGTGCAATGTTGAGTAGGCACGCTATGATGCCTCCGTCCACTTCCCTCCCTCAGAAGCAAGATTTTCCCTCCAGTTTTCTTTCCCTTCTGTGATTGAGCCATCCTAGTTCTCTGTTTTCTTCTTTCCTGAAGAATTCTGGCTGTCCCATCCTGTCACAGTGTAATGTTTTGGCTGTTTGCTCAGTCCAGGAACCTGAGGGAAGGAACTGGTGCCCCCTTTAACTTATACAACTTAAATGGCATTTTTTATATTCCAAATTAACAAAATATTTTATTCAACACAGAGGGGAAAGGTCTGGTGAAATCAGGGGTAAAATTTCTGTGGTAACTCAATATAGATAACTCTGAGGTAAAATCACTACATGCACAGACGTTAGTTGTTATGGTTCAGGCTAATGAGAGTTTCTTAAGCTATTCAGAGTTAATTAGCCAGTTTGGTGTAGTGGTTAAGTGCGTGGACTGGGAGAACCGGGTTTGATTCCCCACTCCTCCACTTGCACCTGGCTGGATGACCTTGAGCAAGCCGTAGTACTGATAAGAGCTGTTCTTGAAAAAGAGCAGTTTCTGTCAAGAGCTCTTTCAGCCCCACCTACCTCACAGGGTGTCTGTTGTGGGGAGGGGAAGGAAAAGGAATTTTTAAGCCGCTCTGAGACACCTTTGGGTAGTGAAGGGCAGGGTATAAATCCAATATCTTCTCTCTTATTCTTCTTTAAATCTTTATATTGAGATGCTTTTATTCCAGTTTTTTCCAAACACACCAGCACACTTTCTTTGAGTATTCTCTGACTCTTTTGGTTTGCAGAAGGCTGGTACAATCTTTCCAGGACCCAAATGCCTTCTCTTGAAACATCAGTATTCATCTTGAGTGTTAACTCTTAAGGTCTCTAAAGGCAGTTTCTAACCACTCCAGATCAGGGATCTCTGCACTCTTCAGAGCTAAATCCCTGTTTTGGCTGGGTAGGGAAATTCTCCTCTCACTAGAAGATCTATCCTGTTTCTTTGGCTCGCATGAGAGTCTCCATCTAACTAAGCACTCATCCTTGCCAACTTTCCCCAGTTCTTTGTCTGTGTTAAACTAATCTCAATCAGGGCTGAATTCCAAATCTGTCAGTACTTGACTCTTCTCAGCTATGGCTGAAATCAGACTGAATTCTCAGCATCCAGTTCAGAAGTCTTTCTCTGTTCAGCTAATGCTAATCAATCAGATTACTTGGAGCAGCCCATCATTCAAGGCTCTCTGTTTCTGTGAAGAATTGAGCCTTCACAGTCCGTTAGCTGTTTGTAGAGCATGTCTAAGCTTTTAAAAAGTGCAGTCCATCACACATGCATTGATTGGTTATATCTTACTGCCATCCTGTCATGTTAAACTTACTATAAGAACCAAAGATTAACAATGTAACAGTGTCAGTGTCTTGAACGTTCTTAGGAATAGATGCTTTCCTTGATCATGGTCAATCAATAAAGAGATGACTTTCTACTGTAGTTGTTAGTAGTGGTTTGGACCCCTTCTTTGAACTCTGGGTAAAATTTGTAACTTCCCTGTCAAATCAGCCATTAACGCAACATTATCTGCCCATCCTTGGCATACACCTTCACCTTCTCTGACTGTGAAAAAGGTGAATGCAACGTTCAGATCATATTTCAAAATGTACAACAGGTCTTCTAATGTACACCCTTGAAGAGTGTGTGGGAATGTTAATTAAGCTGTAAAACACCCACTACTATCATGGAATCTATGAAGTGCTCAGCTGCACTGAACAAAACGAAACAAAAGCACGTATTCAAGTCCCCCAGAACCAAAAGCCTATGGAAAGCCAATGCCAACTCCGACACCGGCCCTGGTCACACGGCAAAGTTGCCGCGGGAGAGGCACGGATGGTGGGCAGATTATCCAGGCGCGATCACACCCCAACATCTGAGAAGTGGAGCGCACCCGTGGCTTACCACCGACAATGTGCGTTAAAAAACTAGTACCTCCAAGGTACTAGTAAACATTTGCCACGGACTGCCTCCAGACGCCCATGGTGTGATCGCGCCGGTGCGCAGCATTCCCCTCCGGTCCCTCATTTACCCGCCAGCGCCGAGGGAAGGACCCATGGTGTGCCACCAGCACGTCTGATTGCGTAATCACGGATCAAACTGCGCCGGGCAATTAGCCACGCCTCCCCCCCCCGCGATATCCAGCCCATGTGACCGGGGCCACCGTTTCTACAAGCTCAGTCAAGCAGGTCCGTTGTGAAGCAAGATGGATGGGTGCAACACCAACGGAATATCTAGTTTCTTCCTGGCTTCCATACTAGGATCAGATGCATACAACTCCTTAGCTCATCCATCTGACTATCTTTGCAGATGCCATGCTACCACCTCCTCATCAGAGTATCCAACTGGAATCTGTTGAACCAGCATGACATCTTCTGTCCCCTCCAATGCATTATCTAGCCAGACCCCAGTGATACATTCCAGATCAATGATTAAATGATGTATTACAGCAGTTATTTATCACCAACCTGAAATCAATAACTATAACCTGAAAAGAGAAGAGACAAGATTTGGCACCATATCCTGAGAGTCAGTTTGGTGTAGTAGTTAAGTGCGTGGACTCTAATCTGGGAGAACCGGGTTTGATTCCCCACTCCTCCACCTGCACCTGCTGGATGACCTTGGGCAAACCACAGTTTTGGCACAGCTGTTCTTGAAAAAAGAGCAGTTTCTGTCAGAGCTGTCTCAGCCCCACCTACCTCACAGGGTGCCTGTTGTTGGGAGGGGAAGGGAAAGGAGTTTGTAAACCGCTCTGATACTCCTTCGGATAGTGAAGGGCGGGGTATAAATCCAATCTCCTCCTCCTCCTTCTTCTGTGTCCCATGGACTTAGGAACTGGCAAGATGGAGCACAACAGCACTCAAATGTTTAATCCCAGATATCTTTGGTCTAACTGCTTGAACCTAACATCGTATTTGCCCTTTCCTACCCCTGTTTTGATAGTACCCCTGCAAGTGCCTACTTCAGTTTCCAAAGCAGCAAAGCACATTTAAACACAAACTGGTACAAACTAAAACAACTTCTGCACAACCATAACATTCTATGCACTCATGACCGCACCAGTGTGGAGCACTATGGTTCCAACTATACAAACGGGGTTCCCTCACAGTCTCTTACCTGAAAGTTACCACCACCCAGTGGCCGGAGGATGTCTAGGTGCAGAAGTGGGAAAGGAAGGGTCTGGCCTGCATCTACCTTCATCTCCTGCTCCAGCCTAACAGCTGCTCAGTCTATAATTGTCCCACCTGGCAATCTCCTACCACACCTGAAGGCTAGTCCTCTGGTGTGGTCCCAGCACCAGCGGCACTGCCACCAGCATGTGTACTTAGCTGGGTTAGGGCTAGGACTGCCAACTCCATCTTGGAAAATTCCTGGCACTATGAGGGCAGTGCCTGGGGAGGGTGGAGTTCCAGGAGATGAGGGAGCTCAGTGGGGTACAATACCATAGAGTCTACCCTCCAAAGCAGACATTTGCTCCAGGAGAACAGATCCTTATAGTCTGGACATCAGCTGTTATTCTGGGAGAACTCCAATCCCCCCCCCCGCACCCTGGAGGCTGGCAATCCTAATTAGGACACACGCTGTCTTTACATGTATCCCAAAGAAAACAAGATTCTGGACAATTACAGGGCTGCTGACATGCAAAGCACCGCTGACCTTCATCGGCAGACAGAGAGCTGGTCTGGCTAGTGCGGACTCTTCCCATAGCAGGTGACTAGAGACCTCGCCCTTTTCGTGCTGAGGCTCCCACTCCTGCCTAACCATAAGCTTCTTTTAGGTTGCTTTCATCATCTCTGTGGAAAGCCTGAGAGAACTGCTCTTGAGAGAACAGCTCGGAGAAAACTGTGACTGGCCCAAGGTCATCCCAGCTGGCTGCATGTGGAGGAGTGGGGAATCAAACCCGGTTCTCCAGATTAGAGTCTGCTGCCCTTAACCACTACACCAAACTGGCTTTGGAAAGCTGGAAAAGCAGGATATAAATGTTTAAATAAATAACTAAATAAATAAAACTGAAACTTCAGCAAGACGCAGTACGGATGTTTGTGTGTGAGAGAGAAAACCGCCACTGCTGGCCAGCACTTCAGCCAAAACAAGAGTTCACGTTGGCAGTGTCAGAAACCAATCGTGATGGCAGCCAGCAGAGTGTGTAGCTTTTCTACCTTAGCGGCAACCTTGCAACACTTTCTAACTGGCATACACTTGTCACACAACAGGGAGCGGTGGCGCAGGCAGTTAAACGCCTGAGGTAACAACACTGAACATGAGCTCCCGGCCCTAGTCCCAGCTCCTGCCCACCCAGCGGTTCAAAAGCGCAATAAGCATAATGCGAGTAGATAAATTGGGTACCTGCCTTAGATGGCAGGGGGCACCCTCCTCCTCCTTGTGGGGGTGTGCCGCGGCGGCGGAACAACGGAGCGGTTGGCGAGCGAAGCGGCGGAGCGATCAGCAAGCAGCCCTGGCAATCTAGTGACGTTGAGCGACGGAGACTGGGCGGAGGCGGAGTCATGGAGGCGCGGGGGCGTGACGGCGCGGCAGAGCCAGCAGGACACAGCCGAAGCTGTGGCTGGCGCGTGGCCGCGCCCCAGGATAAAAGCCCGCCAGAGGAAGTCGCTGGAAGCAAGACCCGTCCCAAAGGAAGCAAGACCCGCCCCAAGGCGCCAGGAGGTTGACCGCCAAGAAGAACACCTGAAGCCCGCTGGAAAGAGCCAACAAGAGCTGCCTGGGTGCTGGTAGGCAAACACTTCCCCCAGTTAATGTGGCCCTAGGTAGGAAATAAAAATCGGGGTTCGAGCGGTATATAAACTGAAAGTTAAATAAATAAAATAAAAAATAAACACAAGGTATTGATTCATCTAATGAGCAAGACTAGCCTGGCTTCAAGAGTTATAGAAATGACAGAGGGCCAAGGGGGGACAAGTACCTGCAAGCCGACTCAGTACTAGGAGTTAAATTAAAATATAAAAGGGGGGGGGAGGATTTCACCTTAAAATACTAGAAAACGACAGTGGGGTAGAATCAGCAAAACTGGGTGGATTCTTACTCAGCTGACACTTGGAGAGAAAGTGTTTCAGCTCAAGGGACTGGGGATGGTGGAAAGGGCTGTCAAGTCGTAGCCGGCTCACGGCAACCCCGTAGGGTTTTCAAGGCAAGAGACATCCGGAGGTGGTTTGCCGATGCCTGCCTCTGTGTCGTCACCCTGGACTTCCTTGGCGGTCTCCCATCCAAACACTAGCCAGGGCCGACCCCGTTTAGCTTCCGCTATCTGACACAACCAGGCTAGCCCGGGCAATCCCTATCATTCCAAAACTGTAGTAAGCCTGAGGCGTTGGGAGAGGGTTTGCGCAACTTAAAACCAGCCTAACCAGCTCTGTTCAAAACTTCACATTTCCCTTTCACTTCAGTCATTGGGCCAAATCACACACTACACATGTAACCTTGCCCCAGCTATCCCTTTTTAAAGTGGAGAAGCCGGTTCTGAAGAGGTGACTGGAACTGGAGAGGAAGGGGGTGCTTTCCCCCACTCTACAATTTCCTTACTTCAAATTGTCACCTTCTAGCCAGCCCCCACCCCAACTGGGTTGCAAAGACAAGGGCATGCACACACCCTCTCCTCTGCCAAAACATCAATAAAAAATTAATGGCAGATGTGCACTCCGGCACTGGAGAGAGACAGTATGCACCTCTGCAACAGCCAGAGAGGGGGCAGCTAGGCACCGCTATGGGGAAAATGAAGAGGGGGGGAACCCACTGGCAGTTGCCACTTTTTCCTCTTTATTCTTAAGGACCTGGTGATTAAGACCTTTCTTGAAAAAGCAAAAAAATTTAAAACCTTTAAAATGTTAGTAAAATGGCCCAAGGGAGAAGGAAAGTGTCATTATCACCACTGATATCTTTAGACAAGTGGGAAGCTCAGGTTCTGAAGAGGTGACTGGAACTGGAGAGGAAGGGGGTGCTTTCCCCCACTCCACAATTTCCTTACTTCAAATTGTCACCTTCTAGCCAGCCCCCACCCCAACTGGGTTGCAAAGACAAGGGCACGCACGCACCCTCTTCTCTGCCAAAACATCAATAAAAAAATTAATGGCAGATGTGCACTCCGGCACTGGAGAGAGACAGTATGCACCTCTGCAACAGCCAGAGAGGGGGCAGCTAGGCACCGCTATGGGAAAAATGAAGAGGGGGGAAACCCACTGGCAGTTGCCACCTTTTCCTCTTTATTCTTAAGGACCTGGTGACTATTAAGATTAAGAAAATTAAAACTTTAAAAATGTTAGTAAAATGGCCCAAGGGAGGAGGAAAGTGTCGTTATCACCACCAATATCTTTAGACAAGTGGGACGCTCGTGCAATCATGTTCCACTCATCACTTCCGATTGCAACAGGCATGCTAAGAGTCACCCAGGAATAACTGCACTTCTCTCCAGCACCAGCACTCCATAGATTTTAGTAGCTGGAATACGACGTTTTTGCCAGAAGAGAAGGGCTTCCTTGGGAAAAAAGAGATCTGCGCACTTAGTGTGCAAAATATGCCCAGCTGGAGCCACAGTGCCCTAGCTAAGAGTACTCACAATGAAAAAATGGGAGGGGGGACCCCGCCTATCATTTCCTCTGGGGGAGAACAGGATGGTTCCATTCCATCAATTCCCCCGTTCTATGGCAGACTTCCAAATCCCTTCTCACACTGCTCCTGGGGCTCCCCTGCCCTTGAGGAGCAGCATATCAGGGGGCCACTGAGGGTTGAGGGAGACGGGAGGCAAAAGTCACTCTACTCCTTCCATCTTTGGAGATTTTTGGTGGGATCCAAGTTGAAGGTGAGATGAGCCAGTGCAGTGGCTAGAGTGTTAAGACTTGGATCTGGAAGATCCAGGTTTGATTCTCCACTCTGCCATGAAGGCTGCTTGGTGACCTTAGGTCCCTAACTCTGTCAGCCAACCTACCTCCTTTGGAGGTTGAATGGCCATTCCTGCAGTTCAGCGTCTTAACCACTTTGAATGGATGGTTCCATTCCATCAATTCCCCTGTTCTATGTCAGTCTTCCAAATCTCTTCTCACACTGCTCCTGGGGCTCCCCTACCCGAGGAGCAACATATCAGGGGGCCACTGTGGGTTGTGGGAGACGGGAGGCAAAAGTCACTCTACCCCTTCCATCTTTGGAGAGTTTTAGTGGGATGAGCCAGTGCAGTGGCTAGAGTTTTAGACTTTGATCTGGAAGATCCAGGTTTGATCCTCCACTCTGCCATGAAGGCTGCTTGGTGACCTTAGGTCACTAACTGTCAGCCAACCTACCTCCTTTGGAGGTTGGATGGCCATTTGACAGCAATGCTGATTGTGTGAATTTAGGCAGATTATGAGAGGGAGGGCAGGGAGGGTTGCATCAGTGCTTAGTTCTTGTGGCCCTTTCTTACACGCCCAGGGAAATGCTGATTGCCACTTGCAATCTTTCTCCAGGCCAGCTTGGCCAGGGATCCTGGAGGTTTTTTGTCATCTTCTGGGTGTAGAACAGTGGTCACTGAGGGTGTGGAGGGGGAGGTATTTGTGAATTTCCTGCAGGGAATTGTGCAGGAGGTTGGACTAGATGACCCTGGAGGTCCCTTCCAACTCTATGATTCTACCTCAGGGTTCTTATGGAACTAAAATGGGGGAAGGAGTTCCTCTGAAGGAATGATGGGATAAAAATGGGCTGTGATGGAAGTACTGCAGGAGCTGAGCAAGGAGAAGGCCAAGAAGGACAACAGCTACGTAATCCTTAACCTTCTCAGGCTCAATAGCTTAATTTTTTTAAATGAGAGACGATAATTCCTAGTTATTTGGAGGAAAGATAGAGCACAGACCTAGCAGCTCAGTGGGATTAGGGGCTACTTTAGTGAGGAAATGGAAAAGTCTTTTTTGAACTATGCAGGTATTTCAGGAGTGAAATATGGAATTCATACTCAGTTCTGTTAGGTCAACACTGGTGAAGGGGCTGCCGAGATACCAGATGAGACAGACCAACGTTATGGTTAACATTTTTGTTGTTGTTCAGTCGCACAGTCGAGTCCAACTCTTCGCGACCCCATGGACCAGATCCCGCCAGGCCTTCCTGTCTTCCACCGTCCTCTGAAGTTTGCTCAATTTCATGTTCGTTGCCTCTATGACACTGTCTAACCATCTCATCCTTTGCCGTCCCCGTCTTCTTTGACCTTCAATCTTTCCCAGCATCAGGGTCTTCTCCAGTGAGTGCTCCCTTCTCAATCCCTCCACTTCAAAGAAGATGCTACTGTAAGGTCACTTCCATGCTTGAGACAGTTGGAGCATCTTAGTTACTCTCAACATTCCACAATTAAGGATACTTCTGCCCATCACTCTCCAATTTTGACATATTTCTTTCTTTCAGTATGTTTCCCCCCCTCCTCCAGAATTAAAACCAAACAAATGGTAAGCTTGTTATTCCTGTTTGGTCCCGGAATCTGTTAAACATCTTCATTATGCTGTAGGCTAATTTACTACTCACTACATGTATGGACTGGTAACTTCCATGCACACAAAAGCTTATAGCTTGAATAAAACTTTGCCGGTCTTAAAGGTGCCACTGAGCTCAAGCTTTGTTCAGCTGCTGCATACCAATACCGCTACCCCACCCCACTCCACCCCGGTCAATCTGCCACTATGGTTAACTATGGCTACGACTAGAACACGTCGCACAGCGACTAAAGCGACGAATGCCCCTCGCCTCTGGGCACGTGCAGAGTCCTGGGTCCCGACGACCTACACGTCAGGAGGACAGTAGCCTGTGGGGCTGATGTTCAAACCGAGCGCGCAGTTGCTTGGCTCCACGGTTTAAACCAGGCGCCGAGCCCGTGCAGCCTTGCCTGGGAAAACTCTTTTTACCTTATGGGAAAGCCCGCGCGTTGGCATCTCACGCCCAGCCCAAGAAGGTGTTGGAGTTGCGGAGAAGGCGGCATTTCAACGGGTGCAACTTTGCCCATCTCGATGCAGCAGCCACACTTCACGAGATTCACGAAGAAATCTCCCATCTACTCCCAAGTGACCGTCCCTTGCTGCAGCCTGTCCACACACACCAATCCCTGAACAGCCGCGGATTCGCCCTACCCCTCGCCCAGCAAAGTAAACTGCCTTTGAATCTGTTGCATAACTGCTGGGAAAACAAGGGGGGCGGCTTGTCCAGCACAAAAAAAAGCGGTGCCGCCCGGTGCCTTTCTTCGCGCGTCTATTAATGGAACGGGAAAACAAGGCTGGACAGGAGACCCTCGTCCCGCCATTCCCCTCTGCCTACCTTGGGCTAAATAATTTCCCCAGCAACCCTGGAAAGTCGGAAGGCAGACTCCGCGGCGGGGAATCCTCCGGTGGGCTCTCTGCAGCCTGACGCGGAGCCATTCACGTGGGTGGCGATGGCGGCCGTTTATCTAGCGCCCCTTCCCGGGCGAAAGGATTCTCGGCGGGCGCCGCCCACGATTCTTCCCCGGGTCCCTACATGTTGGGCGTGTACTTGCAAGCGTGGGGAAGAAGCTGACACATCGACGCCGCGCGCCTCAGAGCCCGGGGCATTTTGCTCCCTCCCAGTGTATTTCAGGCCGCGTGCGGGTCCTGCTTGAGACACATCCTATAAGGAGGCCTTTCAGTGGGACCAAAGTTCTTTTAAATCATATTTCAGGCGCTTGGCCTTGGCTTTTTGAAAAATTAAGATGCCACTTTCTGAAGCGAAGAATAGTTGCGCAACACCGTAGGGTCATGGTGGCTCAAGTGGAAGAGCCTCTGCTTTGCATACTGAAGGCGGCTGCAGGTTCAAACCCTGGCATCTCCAGTTAAAAGGACCTGAGAGTAGGTGATGTGAAAGTTCTCCCAGGCTCTGGAGAGCCCCCCCCCTCCAGTCTGAGTAGATAATACTGACCTTAATGGATCAATGGCCTGATTCAGTATAAGCTGGCCCCTAGCTACAGAGCGGCGATTGGAGGCTCTGCCCAGCAACAGACGACCTACAAGTCTCCTTAAAAGGCCAGCCCCCTTCCTTAAAGCCCCCCCTACTTCTTCCGAAAAGGAGCACACTGCATCCCTTTAAATGCTTCTGAGAAGAAGGGGGTGGTGTGTGCCCTTTTACCTCCCTCCTTCAAGATTTAAAGGGCCCTCCAGATGATCTGCAGACCAGGTGCTCCCAGCTGATCAGCTGAAGGGCCCTTTAAATCTTGCAGGGGGGGGGGAGAGGGGTGTGCTTCACACACACACCCCATTATGGCAAATAAGGGCAGCCACACCATAAAAAAAGTTTGCCCCACAACCCACAAAATCCTGGCTATGGGCCTGAGTATAAGGCAGCTTCATGACTCACAATGGACTGGTGGCAACACCCCATGAAGGCCAGGGATGAGCTGAGGTGACTTGCCATTGCCTTCCTCCGCAGCCCCAGTGTTCCTTGGTCGTCTCCCAACCCAGGACTGACTGGCCAACCCTGCTGAGCTTCCAAGCTCTGACAAGATCAGGCTAGTCTACCCTGGTAGGGCTATTATTAAAGGTGTGCAGCAGCTGGATTAGAGTTGAATTACAGCAGCAGACTGTTGCCATTAAAAAAATCTGGCATAAAGCCTGTTTTCCAATGTGTGAGGGGAAATGCTGCCTTTAATTAAGTTTGTGGAGCCTCTGTAGTTGCTAAATGCCCAGACCACACCAATATGGGGTTGAATTAATATCCAGCACATCCTTGGGGGAAAGTTATTAATTCGCCTTAGTAATCAAAATTGATGGACTCTGAGTATTCAGAAGCAGATACCAGTTCTACAAGTTTCCCGGGACTTAAACAAGCCTGCGTAATTAAAAAAAACCTCTGGAATAAAGTAGCCTGGTTACACAAGCTGGGAGCCTGAAGCTACTAAGCTAGGAAATAATTCCTGATCAACTGGATATAAAACTAACACTAACTTCTGATTCTGAAGTCTTCCAATTCAAACATAATGCATTGTTTAAAAACACCCAAAAAAGCCCTTTGAAACACATTCTTACATTTTTAATAAAGTGTATGCATGGATGATACAGAACTGGTCACAGCTGTGGTTAAGTGCAGCATGACTGTTCATGGCAACTGCTTGGAAAACAAGTTCTATATTACTAATAATAGAATAGTAGGAGAAGATCTGCAGTGTTGCATTTGGGGGGATTTCCCCTCACTAAAATGACATTGTAAAACAGAATTTGTTTGAAACGGGATCCTGCGTATAGAGCATTGGAACACAAGCATCTAGTATTCTGTAAGATCTTATGTAGCATTGTTCTTTGATTTAGAGATGACAATGAAGACATACACAGATGCACACACAGAAAAAAGTCCTGCATACCCTTGTGAAGGGCAAAACCGTAGGGACATGACAGGTAATTCCTCAGGCAAGGCATTCCACAGAGCCAGAATATAATAAGGGAAAGTCCCAACTCCTAGTAGAGGCCAAGTAAGTGAAGCATACAGAGACAATGAACCCAGAGCTGTGGGTTTAGGTTTATACAAGGAGAATTTTTTAAAAAGCCTTTGACAATGATGTCAATTTTCTGGAAAGAAACAAGAGGGCATTGGTAGAATTAAGTAGTTCTCCCACCCTTGCAAGCCTTCACCCTACCTGGTTCATAAGCATTGTGAATAAACTCCATGTTTCCTTCATAACATAAGAGAAGCCATGTTAGGCCAGGCCAGTGGCCCATCCAGTCCAACACTCTTGTGTCACACAGTGGTCAAAAACCCAGGTGCCATCAGGAAGTCCACCAGCAGGGCCAGAACTTCCAAAGCCCTCCCACTGTTGACCACCAGGCACCAAGAATACAGAGCATCACTGCCCTTGACAAAGTGTTCCATCTATATTTTATGGCTAATAGCCACCGATGGACCTCTGCTCCATATGTTTATCCAATCCCCTCTTGAAGCTGTCTATGCTTGTAGCCGCCGCCGCCACTTCCTGCAGCAGTGAATTCCATGTGTTAATTACTCTTTGGGTGAAGACGTAGTTCCTTAATTTCATTGAGTGCCCATGAGTTCTTGTATTGTGAGAAAGGGAGAAAAGTACTTCTTTCTTTGCCATCTCTATCCCATGCCTAATTCTGTAAAATTCTATCATGTCACCCCTCAATCGTCATTTCTCCACGCTAAAGAGCCCTAACCTCTGTAACCTTTCTTCATAGGAAAGATGTTCCATCCCCTTAATCATTTTAGTTCCCTTTTCTGCACCTTTTCCAATGCTATAATATCTTTTTTGAGGTACAGTGACCCGAACTGTACACAGTATTCCAAATGAATCTGCACCATAGATTTATACAGGAGCATTACGATCCTGGCTGATTTGTTTTCAGTCCCCTTTGTAATAATTCCCAGCATAGCATTTGCCTTTTTTAATTGCAGTCACACACTCAGTTGACATTTTCACAAGTCCAAGATCTCTCTTCCTGGTCAGTTAGTACTAGTTTGGACTGCATCATGTAAAACATCAATGTATATTTATAGTTAGGATTTTTGGCTCCAGTATGCATTACTTTGCACTTGCCCAGGTTGAACCTCATTTGCCATGTTGACACCCACTTGCCTTGACAGATCGCTCTGGAGCACCTCACAGTCAGTTTTGTGTAGTGGTTAAGTGCGCGTGCGGGGTTGATTCCCTACTCCTCCCCTTGCAGCCGCTAGATGACCTTGGACAAGCCATAGTTCTGTCAGAGCTGTTCTCTCAAGGACAGTTGTGGAAAGAGCTCTCTCAGCCCCACATACCTCACAGGGTGGGGCTGAGAGGGGAAAGGAAAGGAGTTTGTAAGCCGCTCTGAGACTCTAAGTGAAGGGCGGGGTATAAATCCAATTTCTCCTCCTCCTCCCTGGTTCTCACCACCCTAAACAACTTAGTATCATCTGCAAACGTAGTACCTAGTACTGAGCCCTCTGGTACCCCACTGCTTACTACATTCCACTGTGGAAACTGCCCATTTATACTTACTCTCTGACCAATTTCACACAAGAGCTGCACCGAGGTCGTGCCTCCCTTTGCCCCGCGTCTATTGGTCAATTTCCCACTAGAAGCCGCACGGCCGCATTTTGACCCGCGGCTTCACCCGATTTTTCCAGCGGTTTTGTGATCCTCAAAAAACAGGATCACGAAACTGCGGGGAAAATCAGGCGAAGCCGGGGGTCAAAATACGGCCGCGCGGCTTCAAGTGGGACGCGGCTTCGAGTGGGAAATTGACCAATAGAAGCAGGGCAAAGGGAGGCGCGACTGCGGCGCAGCTCTTGTGTGAAATCGGTCTCTGTTTCCTGTTAAGTAACCAGTTTTTAATCCACAAGAAGACTTGTCCTCTTATCCCATGACTGCTGAGTTTACTTAGGAGCCTTTGATGAGGAACTTTCTCGAAAGCTTTCTGGAAGTCTAGGTAAACAACATCTACTAGGTCATCCTTGTCCACATGTTTGTTCACCACTACAAAGAACTCAAAGGTTAGTGAGACAAGATCTTCCCTTTCAAAATCAAAGCTGATTCTTCCTCAATAGCTTTTGTTCATCAATGTGCCTACTAATTCTATCTTTAATAACGGATTCCACCAAATTACCTAATATTGACGTTAGACTGAGTAGCCTGTAAGTTCTCAAATCTCCTTTGGAACCTTTTTTTAAAGATGGGGGTTATATTAGCTACCTTCCAGTACTCAGGACTGGAGGCAGATTTTAGTGATACATTGCATATTTTTGTCAAAAGATCCACAAGTTCATATTTGAGGTCTTTCAGAAATCTTGGATATATGCCATCTTAGCCTGGTAATTTGTCAGTTTTTAATTTGTCTATCAGTCACAGGACCTCCTCTCTTGTCATCTCAATCCTTGTCTTTCCACACCCCTCCTGAAATCAGCAATTCTGGAGCAGGCAAACAACTCCCATCTTCCACAGTGAATACAGAGTGTTAGACTGAGTAGCCTGTAAGTTCTCAATGGGGGTTATATTAGTTACCTTCCAGTACTCAGGACTGGAGGCAGATTTTAGTGATACATTGCATATTTTTGTCAAGAGATCCACAAGTTCATATTTGAGGTCTTTCAGAAATCTTGGATATATGCCATCTGAGCCTGGTGATTTGTCAGTTTTTAATTTGTCTATCAGTCACAGGACCTCCTCTCTTGTCATCTCAATCCATGTCTTTCCACACCCCTCCTGAAATCAGCAATTCTGGAGCAGGCAAACAACTCCCATCTTCCACAGTGAATACAGAGGCAAAAAATTCATTCAGCCTTTCTGCCATTTCCCAATCATCCTTTAGTAATCCTTTTATCCCTTGGTTATCTAAGGGCCCCAATCCCTCCCTGGCTGGTTTTCTGCTACTAGTGTATTTGAAGAAATTTTTACTGTTGGGCTTTATGTTTTTTTGCAGTATGTTCCTCCTTTTTGCCTGTCTGATCACCGACTTG